CCAGAAAATGGTAATCATTCAAATTGACAAAAGCTAGAATGATTTTCTTTCTACTAACCCACATTGATGACCGAGGAAGTGAAGAGAGAAATGTGAGGGGAATATATGGATTTTGAGCCTTGAGCCTTTATCCTGTCTTTCATCATAACCTAACCCCAAGCCATATTACAAGCCTATATGAAAGTCTTTATCTGAGGGTTTAAAGCTTTCTTTGTTAAGGGATACAAAAAAAAAAAAAAAAAAGAACAGAAGGAATAGCAAGGCTCCAAGTGTTGGCAATCGGGAGTTTTCTTCTTCTAAGCACAAGAGTTAGTTCATGAAAAAGGGAAAGATTTGAACTATCAATATTTAGAAAATGAATGAAATTCTCTCTCATAGGCTAAAGGATTGATGGGCAAAATTGCAAAGAAAAGATGATATGAAGCAATGATTTATGGTCTAAATATCTTGTAATCGGTTGCATCAAAATATTGTATTATTAGCCAAACTTCTTTTTGTCACTAGTTGAAGTGGACCTTTTGATTATCCTAACCTTTCTTGAATCCAATGGAATCAATCTTTGCTATTGTTATGTTCGCATTTTACTCCAACCTTGCCTTTTTATTCAATATTGGAAATATTAGTTGAATATGATGCATTCATTTTAGTTAATATAATTGTTTATCTGATCAAAATCTCTTGATGAATGTGAAAGGTTGGATAAGGATTATAGGGAGAAAGGAAGTTGAATTCGATAGCTAAGGAGTCATCCATGCTAGCTAAAACTCCAATAGCAAATGACAGTTCAACTTATTAGGGAAATATTTTCAAATATCTCCTCATGAAAAACAAATAAGATTCTACCTCTTGCATTCAATAGGGCATTCGTGAATGTGAATCTTTTGATCTACTACATAGGGATAATCATAAATTGATAAATGTGCAACATGAAAGACACAAGACTATTGTCAAATATGGACATCCAATATGCTCAAGGAAATTTCTTAACCTCTCTTCATTCTACCTTATCTTATATATGAAGATGTCTCACTTGCATATGTTTCATGGCTGCAGATTTTTTAATCATTACTTTCATCTAACCTTTTGATTGCATTTTACACTCATGAGTCCTCAATAGTCTACTTTTTTCGATCATTCGACCATACTAATGCCCCACTTTTTCGATCATTCGACCATACTGATACTCTACTTTTTCGGTCATTCAACCATACTGATACTCTATTTTCTCGATCATTCGACCATATTGATACTCTACTGTTTCAATCATTTAACTATACTGATACTCTAATTTTTCGGTCATTCAACCATACTAATGCTCCAATTTTTCGATCATTCGACCATACTGATGCTCCACTTTTCGATCATTCGATCATACTTATACTCTACTTTTTTTGTTATTTGACTATATTGATACTCTACTTTTTCGATCATTTGACGATAGTCATACTCTACTGTTTTAGTCATACGACTATACTGATACTCTACTTTTTCGATCATTTAGTCATATTGATACTCTACTGTTTCGGTCATATGACCATACTGATACTTTACTTCTTTCGGTCACTCGACCATACTAATACTTTAGTTCTTTTGGTCACTCGACCATATTAATACTCTACTTCTTTTGGTTACTCGACCATACTAATACTCTACTTTTTTTGTCATTATATAACCATCTCAACTCAACTTGCTCAATCGTTTGACCATTGCAACCCAACTTACTCAGTCGTTTGACCGTTTTATCTCATTTGTTTGATTAATCCGATTGTTGTGGTTTATTAACCATTTTATCTCATTCGTTTAGTTAATTCGATCATTGCGGTTTTCTAGCTGTTTTACCTCATTTGTTCTGTTAATCAATCATTGTGGTTTTCTAGCCATTTATCTCATTCATTCGATCAAGGTTTTCTAACCATTTTATCTTATTCATTCGGTCAATCCGATTGTTGCAATTTTCTAACCATTTTATCTCATTCATTCGGTCAATCTGATTGTTGCAATTTCCTAATCATTTTTATTTTACTTGTTTGGTCATTCGACCATTTTTTACTTTACTTGATTAGTTGCTCAATTGTCAAAAAAAAAAGTTAATTTTTGTTTTTTTGAGTTCTTCTTGTCTTTTCTTTTCATTCTTAATAAAAAAAAAAAAAAAAAAAAGAGAAGTAACTATCATAACTCAAATTTTTAATAGAATTTTATTTTTATTTTTATTTTAGTTTTATTTTTATGTTTCACTAATATGTTTGCCGTTACTTTCCTTCTTAGGTTTATGAGCAGAAAGGGATTTTGCGAAAAGGATTGGAAAAAGGAGATGAAGGAAATTAAGACGAGGGACTCAATTGAAGAGATGGAAAGTTGAAGAGGTAAAATGCATTGAAGTTAAAAAAACCAAATCCACAATTACCCAAAAAATCCACAAAAACTCAAACCCAAAAACCCAAACCCACCATTACCAAAACCCAAATACCAAAACCCACAATTACCCATAACATAACCCATTTAGCCCAAACCCAAAAACCTAAACTTCAAACTCGAAACCCTAACCCCAATTAACCAAAACAAAAAAAACAAAGGAGTCTTGCCCTGCTCTGCACCCCTTTTGCGCCTTCACGGGACCCAGCCTGCGCTCCTTGCTTCTGCTCCCCCTTGCTTGCTACAAACCAGCCCTACACTCCTATACCCCCCCTACTCTCCTCTGCACCCCCTTCTTCTGCAGTCGACTCCGCCCCCCTCTTCTGCAACCCGTTGTGCCCTTACTACAAAAATCAGATCCTGCACCCCCTTGCTTCTGCTCCCCCTTGCTTGCTACGAACCAGCCCTACGCTCCTACGGCCCTTGCACTCTGCGCCCCTTGCACTGTTATTGCACCCCCTGTATTGTTGTGCCCCCCACCCTCTGCGCCCCCAATCCTGTGCCTCTACACTTTTGCTTGCTACAGCCCTGTCCTTGCCTCACCTGCAGAAGAACAACACATACTAGACAAATCGGCATCCTCTTCGTCCTTTGCTTTTGTTGCAGAAATCAGTGCTTGTTGGAGGATGTTTCTATTTTATTATTTGGGTATATATATAGGGTAAAATCATATTAATGGGGGGTTTTTTGTTTGAGTTGGGTATTGAGAATGGCGACAGAAAGAAGGGAGTTCTGCTTGAGGGAAGTAGCGGTTTGGGAGGAGATCGCCAAGCTTAGTGATTGTTGTGAGATGGTTTCTGGGTCTATCTTTATAGGCAATCTTCGAAACAGATGGTCCTTTTAGGGAAATGGTGAAGGGAATGGTGGGAGCTTGATCCCGTGGGTGCGATTCCTCCCATCAAACCCAAATCTATTCTTCCTTTTAGGATCTGCCATGTTTGTTTGTTTTCTTTTCTATTGATGTTTTTTTTTTAGATATGATGTTAAACTCATGTATGTTGCTGAAAAATTAATGAAGATGTCAAAAAAAAAAAAAATGTTCAGATTGGGCCTAGATGAATGTATGTCTCTGCTGGAAGTGATATGAACCCTAATTGAAGATTTGTTCTGTTTGGTGTTTGATCTGTTTTGCCCGTTTTAGGTTGATGGGTCATGTTTTGTAGGTTGGGTACCCGATCCAATCCAATAGATAAAAAAAATAAAAAAATAAAAAAATAAAAATTTTAAAAAGTAAAAAATATATATATTTTATTAATTAATTAGGTGAGTTAGATTAATTTATGATTAATGAAGTTAATTAATCTTAATTAAAATAAATTAATTATATTTATTGAATTTAATTTGACATAATTAGATTTATTTGATTATCTCAATTAATGATTAATAAATATGATTAATTAATTTTAATTAATGTTAATTAATGTTTAATTAATTATTCAATTAAACTAATTATCTTGATTAATTAATTTCAATTCTCAATTTTCTTTAACTTTGGTCAAAGTGAGAGTTATCTTTTATTTTATCTTAATTTCACCTAAAAGTTTTATAATTAAGTAATTCAGTCCCAAGGTTTGAAACCTTTTTAAATCAATCCTTCATGTTTTGAATTTAATCAAATCAGCCCCTTTAATTTTTATCTACGTTCATGATGCATGTATGTCTTTGATTTTGTCATTTTAGTCCAAAGGTTTAAAAAATGTTGCAATTTCGTCCATCCCTTTTTTTTAAAGTTCGCTTATTAAGACCTAAATATACAGATAATGAATAAGTTGAATCAAAACCCCAATTTTAAAGTATGCAACCCTGTTTAAGCGGAGGATTGTGAGGTGCGCATATGCCCTTCCTCACCCTAACTGAACCCTCAAACCCCAATCTCTATATAGACCTGTTTTAGGTGAGTTGTCCCACATTATAATTTGGACGAGTAGCGACTCCTTTTCTTATATGTTTCACACTTAATGTTTGATTTTTTTTAATTTTAAGTGTGATCATCAATAGTTTGTGTGCCTCATACAGAAACTCTTGAGGAACTTTCTAGGAATTTAGTTGGTTGCTTGAAGGATTGGAACATTGATAGAAAGTTGTCTGCCTTTACAATTGATGATGGCTTTGATAATGATTCAATGATTGATGTTGCATTAGAGAAACTATCAAGCGAGCCCTTATGGTTGAAAGGAAAACTGTGGCATATGCCTAGTTGTGCTAGCTTTTTAAATTCAATTGTGAAAGATGGTTTTGAAGTGATTGGTGATGGTATTGAAAGGGTTCAAGATAGTGTTGCTTTTTGGATAGATATGTCCAAAAGAGAGAAAATATTTAAGGAAACAGCTATTCAATTGAAAGTTCCACTCATTGAAAAGTTGATAGTTGATTGTGAGAGTAGATGGAGTTATACTTAATGCTTCAGGTTGCTTTAGGTTATCGAGATGTCTTTTCTTTCTTGAAGGAATTAGAGCTGCAATGTGATTGCATGCCGCTTAAGGAAGATTGGGAAAGGGTAAAGGAAGTTTGTGAAAGGTTGAAGTTATTTTATAATATCACCGAGTTGTTTTCTGGGTCAAAGAAGCCGACTGCCAATCGTTACTTTCCATTGATTTGTGAGATCAAAATTGCATTAAGGGAGTGGCTTGATTGTGGATGTGATACTATGCGATCAATGGCATCAAAAATTAATGGAAAATTTGACAAGTATTAGAGTGAGGTTAATGCTATCTTGGCTGTTGCAACTATTTTGGGTCCTAGATACAAATTACAATCTTTGGAGTATTGTTTTCCAAAAATTTATGGAGATGCAGCTTCAAGGGAGATAGAAAAGGTTAGGCAACTTTCTTATGACTTGGTTAATGGGTATGAATCTAGGTTTGGTGGATTTGGATCTTCATTTGCAACATCTTCTCAATCACAACATGGAAGAACTAATTATCAGTCTAATTACATGCGTGGTTATGATTTGTTTGTTGCTTCCAAGAAAAAGATTTCATCTATGAAGTCCGAATTAGATTATTATTTGGAGGAGCTAGTTATTCCAACTTCAATGGATTTTAATGTTTTATATTGGTGGAAGAATGAAGGGATCATGTATCCTAGATTAAGATTGGTTGCTAAAGATATATTGGTTGTTCCTATATCTATAATTGCTTCTGAATCTACTTTTACTACTATTGGGAAATTTGTTGGTCCATCTCGTAGTAAGCTTAATCCCAATACATTAGAGGTAGTAATATGCACACAGGATTGGTTGTCAACTCAAGTGATAGGTATCCTAATGGATTAAAATGATTACTTAGCTTAAACCTTAATTCTTTCTAGCATCAATTACTTAGTTATTAATTGCAATTTTATTTTTCTCTATAACTTAGATCCATGTTCAAGTTCAAATGCTGATTTTGGATGTTACTTTTTTCTTGAGGAGTCAGACTCAAGTGGAGAGGAGGTAAATACAGATTTACAAGCTTTTTGTGTCACCATCTTGAATCCTTTTATCCTAAATTGTATCAAATAGAATTTTGTCTAAACATGCTAATAATTTTGCTAGTGACTAAAGTAATTTGAAATGTTATAATAGTAGTCAAGTTGCATTGTTTCTTAAATCCCAAAATGTGGATGGTGTCATTGTGGACAAGATGTTATTTGAGCTTAAGCATACTTTGTAGCACCCTTGTCCATTTTCATACTTTTTGTGAGCTGCTTGTATGACTCGTCTTCTTTCCTCCACAAACTTAATCCCTGGCATTGTGTGGATGGCTTTATTTTTGTTCCATTGTGAATTTCAAATGTTTCTTTTGATAATTTTAATTTACTTATTATAACCGAGAAATTATTGTGGTAGGTTGAGAAAAATGAAACTAAAAAGATATGTTTTTATTTTGAAAGAAAGAAAATGCTGCATATGGGGTAAACTCCCTATTCAGGTAGGCAGATAATGCTAACAGGGATCAGAGGAGAAATTTTGGGCTCATTCAGTCATTCTTCTTTCCTTCTTTCTTGCCATCCCTACTAACCTGCTTTGGAGAAGTTAAATGACCAAAATTGAATGGGATAAGATCTGCATCATGTGGCCTCTAACTCTTTCTTGTCAATTATCGGATGCATTAATTTGATTTGTTGTCCATTATGTTCAAGATAACGTTTTCTATGTTGGCATCAGTTCCAAGATTGATTAATGTTTTATGATAAATCTTTATGATTTTCTGAGCTTGTGAATAGGAAGATGAAAGTGAATAGGTGCAAAGTAGTTGCAGAATGTCTTTTTGAGGTTGATCCCAATGTGCAACAAAGTCAAGAGTTGGAGGCATCCCTTCCATGCTTATGGCTGAAGCTTAGGTGAGGTGTTCTTTTTTCCCAAGGAGCATTGGATCACGTGACCATCTGGTTTTCCTTTACGTAAATTGCACGTGCACTCCTTTTCAAGCTCTGCATGTACCCCTTCATTTTCTTTCTCTCCTTATTACTCTTTAAGCCTTGAGCTCCAAGCCTTTTCTCTACCAAAAATGTCATGTGGCCATGGCTTTCAACAATTTGTACTCGTCTAGCCTTGAATCCGAAGCCTGCCCAATTATTCCACAACTTATCTCTCTTTTTCTTTTGCAGATTCCGGCGTACAGAGGAAGCTCCTTGGAGATGGAACTCTTTTCATCAATTTTGACAATGAAAACTAGAATTAATCCTCTGTTTTTGGTCATATGAATATTGTGTGATTGTTGAATGCCGGATTAGAATACCTTTCATGTAGCTGGAAAGTTTTATCTAAACCAAAACCCCAACAAGCTAATGTTAATCATATATATTAGAAAATGTTAAATGTGGAATGTGTGCCCATGCACACCCCAATGGGGTGATATAAGTATATAGCCCAGCTGTAACAAACTTTTGCTTTTCCTACCTTTTCCTTTTTATAATGCTTAACTAGTTTATTAATTGAAGATTAAGCTTTGAAAACTTTTGGAGTTTTATAGTGATTGGATGGAGATGTTCCCTGGATATTGTTGCTTCAAATTGTTAATATTTACATGTGCTTTTTCTTTAGATTTCTATGCTTAGTGATTGGTTGGTCTAGAAACAAACATGACAATCAGATCTAACAAATTTTCTGCTGATACGTTAATTAAAGTTGAAGTATCTGCATGGAGACTATGCATTATAGCTAATCTTCTTAGGCCTGAAGAAATCCTTCCGAATAAAGGGCATGCCTTTTTATCTGCCTAAAATGGTAATGGAGTGTTGGCTTGGTTGGGTAGTTTTTGAATAACAAGAGTAAGACGGCAATGAGCTGTCCTAACCTAAGAATTTAAAATTTAAAATTAAAAATTTTAAATTATAATTTTATACAAGGAGATGGGATTTAAGAATTTAAAATTTTAAATTGAAAATTTCAAATTATAATTTTATGTGAGTAGTAAAAATTTTGGAAAACAAAAAAGAAATATCTTATTATATGACTTATTGTTGAATTGAAAAACTATTTTATTCGTTGGGATTATTTTAACCTGCAAAATAAGGATCCAAGGAAGGAGATCTCTCATATCAAAAGCATGTCTTTATTTTAAGGTTTTTATTTTATAATTTAAATTATTTCAAATTACAAAATATGAGATTCATATCATTAATTTTACCAATATCATCAATTTTACCGACAAAAACGAAATAATGAAATATGGGAAAGTAGTTAGCCTGGTGCCCATAAAAACGAGTGTCATCTGATACATTGGTCCCAGAAATGTTCCCTCAAAGATTGTTTATTAAATCTTTAAATTTACATTAAAGATTTATCACAAAAGTTAGCTCTTCTTTTGTTCTTGTTTTTTTGGTCATTGGCTTTTGTTTTGTTCAAAATTTATAAAATATAGAGGCAAAATAATGAGACGATGGAAATTAGCGTGTGGGGGAGAGGATTCTTTCTTCCGGAGAAGCTGTGAACTTTTGACCACTTTTGAAGCCTTTGGCAATGACAAAAAAAGCTGTATTGTCTACTATGTTCTTAGTATTATTCCTGCTTTTTCTATGTCCCCATTCATTGTTTTAAACAAATACAAAATGAGAGAAATAAAAGAAATAAATAAGTGAAATTTCTGTCGGCAAGTAAAGCTGCTTATGTAATAAAAATGGAAGCGCATGCTTAAATTTATTGATTCATGCTTAAATTTGTGTCTTAAAATCTATAGAAGGTTATCGGGAAGGTTAATATTTTGCTTTTCATTTTCTCATTTTATAAATAAAAAAATATTGTATAATTTAAATTATATCAAATTATTACTAAAATTGTTAAATAAAAAATAAATTTTTTAATATTAAGTGTTATATATTATCTAAAAAATTATATTTAATAATTTAATACAATTCAAATTACAAAATATGATTTTTTTTTTAAACATTTTAATTTCGTGACTTAAGTGAAAATTTAGAAGTGTTAGACAAAAAATAAAAAAAACGATTTGATGATTTTTCTTCTTTCTTGTTGTTTCTTATTTAGGGGGCCATGGTGGGTTAAGGAACTGGTAGTTGTGGGTCAGATTCCGACACCCACACCAGCAGCACCAGGCACAGTTTTTGTAGGTTTACTAATAGACAAATTGAATGTTTTTAATACACATATTACTAACGCACAAAAAGACACCACATATCAAATTTCAATTTCCTCTTCTCTACCAACCTCCTCGATGGGAAATTTTTTTTTGTCACACTTCTTGGTCAGAACACCTTTTTAATTTTAAAAAAAAAAAAAGAAAAAAAGGAAGGTCCCAGAAAAGAGCAAAACAACTGTTCTTCGATGCAATAAGTACCAATTAGAAATAAATCACTGAAAAATTAGGTCTCTTCTGGGATCATATATTTAGATGGGCATTGGGCGGATGTTTGGCTGGTGAAAAAATCGGTTTACCAAAAAGGTTTTTCTAGCCTTTAATATTGCATTTATTATTATATTTTTTATATTAAAAATAAAAATTAACATTAATTTTATGATATTGTAATTAAAAACATAAACGTTAAAAATAAAATTAATTTTTTTATTTTTGTAAACAAATAAATATTTAAAA